TGGAAATTGTGATATTTACAGATGTTGAAATATAGAGCAAGTTGACAGCTGTAGAATTAGTAAAGAAAGAGGAAATAAAGACAAAGATAAATAAATAGTGCTTCTAAGATCTGGTATGGCAAATATAGTATATACTTAAGCAGATTTATAATAATTAAACCAGAATATTAGCGTCCTTAGGAATATAACTATATCTTACTAATTATAATAAGCTAGAGGGATTCAGGTTTATAAATATAGTTAGTAGACAAAATCATCTGTGGCTAAGAGTATCTATTTTAAAATCTAGTAAAAGAGGCTGTTAGAAGTATGCCATGAAGCAGTGCAGATTAGATTATTAATATTAATACTTAAATTCTTATATATATTAAGTTATAATATATAACAATAAAAGTAGTTTTTTCTAAGCAGTTATATAGATCTTTACATTAAAATTCTTTATATTTTTTTAAATAACACGTTTAGAGTCGTTTATTAGATCAATAATCTTTGTTACTCTAAAGTGACTTAACAAAGCAAAGTCAAAATTAATATCTTTAACGATCTTAATTACTTCACATTTATGTAGAGCAAGTACTTATTTTCGATCTCGATTATGTATTCTCTCATTGCGACGCGTAGTTCCTTCTTTGATAATTCGATAGCTAGTTGTTTTAAATATATTATGTATCTTAAATAGCTGCGTACGAGACAATTTGCCAGTTGTGTGACGTACGTCAGCAAGAAGACGCGCACGGTGCGGCGTATCAAGCATCGTTTTTGGCGTTCGTGAGGCTGCAGAAGAAGGAGGATCTATCAAATTTGACTTTCGGCAGACGCGCCGTCTGTTTCCCTGTTCAGAGTTCATTGTTCCCTTAATTTGAGTGAGTATTGGTGGAGAATTAGGGGAATGAAGAAGGGGGGGAGAGGAAGAGGATCTGAGAAGTCCCGTAAATTTTGGCGCCAAGCTTCGGACCCGCCATGCGGGCGCCTGACAAGCGCCTGACATCGAGCATAACAATTTCATCTCGTTCCTCCCGCTCAACATCTCTCTCTCATAAGATTCTCTTTTGATTTCACTTTTAAGATCCACCAAAATTCGACACTTTTTCTTTTCTTTGATCTCTTCGAGTCTATATATCGAATTGGTAAACGAATATCCCCGGACATCAAGGAACATGGCTCTACGCTTCAATCGCACTGACGACACGCTCTTTGCCGATATGGTCGATAGACTTGCTCTTACCGCTACGAATCCCCTCAGTGACGTACAACCTTCCTTACTTAACCTCACCTCCAATTGCTGGGCGCTGTATGATCTTTTACAGCTATCACAGAATCCAGATCATGTGGATGAATCAACTCGCTTTCAGACCCTGTCCAATGATTTTGGTACAGCTTTACCCTTGAAACTCGCCACAACTTCCTTATCCTCCACCTATGAATATTTAATCACCATACAAAAGCTTCCTAGCTTCCCATCGGTACTGATCACCAATTTGGACTATTGCAACTCGACCGACCAACTGCGTGCTCCAGTACGTGAGCTCGATTTCACTCGAAACTGCCGCGAGACTGCATTGTTCTGGTGGCATTTTGTCTTCGGCACTGACTCACTCGGCGAGGACGCTGTGGCAACTCTTTTCAGAAACTCTCTGCCCCCTCCCTTTGCGACCATGAGCAACTTTACTATCCAAAAGCTTGGTTTGGATGCAATCATTTTCAGAGGCGACAATGACACAGAGCGTTTTCGGCCGCCTTTTCAAGCGATGTTCGAACGAGCCGCAAAAGCTTGTGCAAACGATGCGTGCATTAGCCTAGATTATAAGGGCAACGCCGATATTGCTGGAATTGGTGTAAGTCCATGCTTCGCTATCGATTGATCACAGCGGACCATACTGATCTGATTGTTCAGGCTATAGTTGCATACGGTTCCATCGCCGCTGTCTCCACATATTTAGCCCTGACGACAGTTTACTATCATTCTACAAGGAAACGATCCTTCGGAAATGCAATACTAGAACAAATCACTGTGGAGATATCACTTATATTCTCGGATGGGATAGCTTGGTTTGGCCTCATGGCCACCCTCGCTGGCATGATCTACATGAGCGGCAAGGCGCAGAGCTACTACGAGTACACATTGGCGGCTCTTGTGAGTTTTCTCTTCGCAAACGCAGGGCTTCTATCACTGTCAATATATATCTACCATCCAGAGAAGCTAGGCAATACTGTCTCAGTCAACATTCGTACTATACCACTATTGGCCATGATTTGCTTGGGCTTAGGCTTCCTTGGCACTGCCCTAGAAGAAAACAATAAGGAAGAAGGAAGATCAGCAATCGTCTCCAACAAAATCTTCAATACCACCGCTGGCGTTAACACGTTCAAAGACTTTATCGACACACCCTGTTATGCCGATGGATTTTGGCCCTTGGAATATCTTCATGGGCCGAGGTTGATGCAGCTGGTCATATTCATAATAGCGTCCATTTTGGCGTTCTTAGAAATGGTGGACGCTTGTGCGCGGGGGCGTCTTTGGAGAGCTAGTTTCAATTTCATAATGCCCTTTGGCCTCCGCACAATCCCGATGGTGGCCCTTGCAGGCTTGTGGTACGACTTTGCGACCATAGTAAAAGTGAGAGCACGTGCAAGTGCAAGTTTTGGCCCAAGCTATGAAGAAAATACTGCTGGATATGGACAGATCATTGCAAGTGGGCTTGCACTCCAAGCTGTGTTCAATTACCTAGTCAAGGTCATCGGTGAGTCATTTTGCATGTTCTTCCGTCAGTGTTGTGAAATATGCTAATACCGGTGCAATAGCTTATAAATTGCATATCTATTCATCATCAGGAGCCGCTCAGTCACCAGCAAGTGAAGAGATAGCCGAGACTGATGAGGAGCTCCAGACTTTAACAGACGCAGAGCCAGTAACTGATTCTGCGGACTCGCACAACCGACCTGTGTAAAAGATAGCTGTACAAGTAAATGAGACTGCTTGAGGATGGTAGTTAGAGATCTCCATTCTTAGTAGGAAATGAAGTTGTTTTGATCAGATGGATCGTTGTACTGTAGGTTTTGATGAACATCATCCAGCATCGCTTTTGCGGCTCTTATCTCCTCTTTGAGGGCGCATATTCAACCCACAGTGTATATCTGGGGCCTAGTCCTTCGAGATAGACTCGTAGAGATTGCTTCTGCTGCTTAAAGTCTAGTCCTTTGAGGTGGACTCGTAGGGATTATCTCTGCTGCCTGAAGTCTAGTCCTTTGAGTTGGACTCGATCTAAGTAGAGCTGTGAAACATCTAGAAGAGCGCTTGACAGCATCTGCAGATGGGGATTCATATGTGCTTCCACGATGTTGAATGAGGCTCTAGCACATCTTGCAGGTTGAGACAAGCATCCTAGGTATCCAAAAGAGGGTTACGGCGTCGTCCTTTGAATTAGTGGTGAAGGCCTTTGAAGGTTTGAATTTTAGCCGAGGGTTTGTAAAGCTCTGCAGGCTGGGATACAGATCTGAGAGAGCTTGCAGGTGAGAGTTCACGTTTATCGTCAGATTTTGTAGGTAAGGATTTGGCAGGGTTTGTACTTAGTAGTAGTAGTAGAATGGAGGAAGGAAATGGTATTAGGCCCGAGGCTTGGCGTTCCTAAAGTCTAAGTTTACCTATCGCATGCAGGGCCTTACAAGAAATCCACTTTGCTCGTAACATCGATGTGGTGCTTTATGATGTTAGAGACCGTCGTGCTTGGCTTGTGGACGGAGATAGCGCTCTCCTTCATATCGTACGCACCCAGCTCTCTTCCAGCCCCTACTGCTCGAGTCCTCGATTTTAGATCAGACACTTTTGTTATGCAGACTCTAAGAATGGTGCTAATACTGCCTAAATAGCGTTGAACCATGTGCAGAATATGGAAATTGTGATATTTACAGATGTTGAAATATAGAGCAAGTTGACAGCTGTAGAATTAGTAAAGAAAGAGGAAATAAAGACAAAGATAAATAAATAGTGCTTCTAAGATCTGGTATGGCAAATATAGTATATACTTAAGCAGATTTATAATAATTAAACCAGAATATTAGCGTCCTTAGGAATATAACTATATCTTACTAATTATAATAAGCTAGAGGGATTCAGGTTTATAAATATAGTTAGTAGACAAAATCATCTGTGGCTAAGAGTATCTATTTTAAAATCTAGTAAAAGAGGCTGTTAGAAGTATGCCATGAAGCAGTGCAGATTAGATTAGTAAGCAAGAGAAAGTAGATGGAATGGATTGATTGACTTGCTATCTCAACTCCTGAGGAGTAGGATGACCGCTATATATACGCATAGAAGAGGCAAGCTATAGAATCACCTAGAAGGAGATCATAAACCAGCGTTGCAATGCTAACTGCAGCATTTTGTGAGTGTATGCGTTTCTGAGTAATAGCGCGTGGCGAACAGTTGCGGTGGTCGGAGAACTCCGTCTTCCGCTGACAGAGGCTAGGTGGACTTTACTAAAAGCATTAGTACAGTAAGCCTACTAGGCCGAGGCTTTAAGTAACTTATCAAGCCAGCCTAGACTTCCGACAACCTTTGCAGAGCCTAGAAGAGTGTTCTAAAAGATAAGGATTACATTATTGTCTGCATTAGGACTCTACACAAGATTTGTATAAAGAATAAAGATATTAACTCTAATCCTCTAGAGCTTGCATAAGGGACTTACTAGTATAAAGCAGATAAGCTTTTAAGCTGTATAAGTATAAGCTTGATTCACTCTATTTAGGTCCTGCCTGCGATCGAATACAAGTACTTCTTCTGCTGTTGTCTGTAGGCTCTAAGAAATATCTTGACCCCTTTAAAAACAATAGAGGAGCAGCGATTTTCGGACGAAGCAGGAGATTCGACTGGTATTAGCCAAATGTAAGAGATCCTGTTGTAGGCACTTATTTAGAGCATGATTTAGGCGGTGAGGGTAACCTAGCGGACAGTGGGATTAGAACTAGTATAAACATGTTATCCAAAAATCCCCTGAACAGGTGGTTTACCTTCATCAGAAAATCAGGCGTGGACTAATTTATATACGCCTGTTTAAGCAAGAGGACAGGGTGAAGACATTAATAATTTAATACATCCGGATGGCTTAGCACCTGCTCGCCATACCACCTGAAATTCCAAACTTACTAACAAGCCGCTTCCAGTGTTACCTGAACTCATAAGAGCGCCAATACTTAGCAACACGCAACTAGTCAAAGCCGCATAAGACTGTTCAGCTAGGTTAATACCGACAACAGCCACAGTATACACACGACTTCAGAAGGACCCAGCATACCGACTCGAGCTGATCAACTAACCAAGTCGTTAGAAGCTAATAGGCAACTTGTCGATTACGAGACATGGGCTACAGATTCCCATAATCAACCAAACATAGCTGATAGGACTGACGCTAAGTGGAAGCCATGGCGTGTGATAAAGGAAACGATGTCTCGTGCATCTCGCAACCCGGGAAGCCCCAAGGGGGTCTAATGTGTCCTTAGATAATGTCAATGTGTCCATTGAAGCAACAGGGTGGTCTCGGTTCCCAGATATGTGGTTCGCTCTAGTCAGCTTAAAGGGTGCTGAGTCAGAATACAGCTATGGAGTGGGATTCCTCCAGCAGAGAGCTTGCCCGCATGCTTTGAGAACAAAAGGAGCACAAACTGTTCCTTAGGTGTTGTAAGATTCCTGTTCTGGTGCGATTCTCGGAGGACTTCGACCAATGCTCTCGACTTTGCTTGAGATGAGTGTTCCAAGGTTGCATTGTTGGTTGTAGGACAGCAAGCCGTGGTAAGCTGATATTTGTTATGCCTATAGCCTCGGTAGCTCACGATGCTGGCTCTTAACACGCTGCATCTGTGTCGTCACAGCGCTTTGTCCTCCTTTTCGCCACGTTCAGACGTACTCTTAGCCAGCTCAACGCATTGCCAACAAAAATCTCATTTGCAAGCATCCATATTGCGGAGTGACATCATGATATTCTATCTCAACTATAAATCTAATCTAAATAGACAAATTGAATAGTCTCATCCTCCATTCCTACTAATAGGACAACCTGTACCGGTATCTGTACCGGCACAACATGATATCAACGGTATAGGGTGTCCTACCGGTTGGGTTAGTACGGTACAGACCCCCTTGTACCGGCTTGTACCGCTCTTTCCGAACGCTGGAAATTTGACTGTATGTACAGCTAAAACCCCTTGTCGATGGAGGAGTACCCACATATGTTATTCGCGTACTAGCCACAGGGCCGTATCAGTCGTAGGCTTCGACATCTACTTCGTACATGTGCCCTGTTGCTTCGAGGCAGTCACACACAAGGCAAAGTGTTGGCATTGGGGCCATATACGGTGTGCAGATGTTTGGCAGGACCTAGAAAAAAGATAACGTGAGGCCACGAATGTCGAGCTTTGTCTTCGAGCAGACAATTTGCGTCTAACTTGCCTCTCGTTTGGATGAAGCCGGATGAAGCCGGAGGAGTCCTCACCAGGCCTCGATTGGGGACCGGCCTCAGGGCTAACTTTTGCTTTGGGTCTGCCTCAAAATCTGTCTGCTGCCATCTGGGGGCACGTACCATCCGACAAGCCGTTTCCCTGCTATCTCTTATACATCCCGGCGGGGCTATTTTTGTCTTTGTGTAACATCCAAGGTGCTATGTTCGTTTTGTCTGGTCGTGCGTACGCCTGTCACACATATACATAGCACTATCAGACTCTACATCTAGTGCCGAACGCCGCTTGAGATCAAAGGAGGACAAAACATCAATCTCTGGATGCCTTCCGTTGGCTTCTGGTCCTTCCTACAAAGCCACCCGTTCGTGGTAATCTCTTTGGCAGAGAAGCCACAGGGTGACCCATTGATTTGGCTTGAAGTAAACGATGGAAGATGTGACGCATGCCTTTTGTGTCAGGGTATCTGGCTTAGCGCCATCTACTTCATCGAACTCGGCCGCTTTCTGTGAACCTTCCCATGCGGCTCCGACGAGCGACAGCGGGAGTCGATTCATCCTACACACAGCCAGTAGGAGCAGCAATTCCGATGCATCTTGCGCCACTTTTGTCCTCGATAATTGAAGGGTGGTGGCTCGGGGGTTGTGTAGATATCTCTATACCGTGATCGTGTCTGGGTGGGGTGGAAGGCAAGCAGTGGCTGCCGCTGTCGCTCGAAGGTTGCGGGACACTCCTTCAGACTGCGATGTCCCCGCCACACGTATGCTCCTGCTTGAATGATGGTGAGTGGATGCAACCGGAGCAGTTGTTACGCCGACCTTCTAGAACACGCCTGCGGAAAGGACCGTCCAAGTTGTCGATATGAAGTTCCCAGTGCGGCCGTACCTTTGATGTATCCCGCTTAAGGGTAAGAATTGAACCGGTCATGTCTAACAGTCCTGCGTACAAGCAAGCATCAAGGCCTCTTGATCGATGACCCGCCAAAATCCAAATTCCGCGATGATTGGCTCGTCGATAGACCTTGCTACCTTCAAAGATTTCTTCGCGATCCATAGAATGCATGAACAAGTGCGACCATTCATTCGGTGCGTGTCGCACAAAGTCCGGCTCCTCGTCACCTGCGAATGAGTCTCTGAGAAGGCACACTGGATATAAGTCGAAGTCGAATCCTAAGGCAGCATGTCGTAGGCTGCTGCTCGTGAGAGAAAACTCTAGTACGAGAACAGCACCCCATTGACCTGGGTGCAAGATTGCTGAATGACGGTCTCTCGAAGGATTTCGCGCGTGCATTCGGGTGGAAGGTGGCAGCCAGCCACGTGTAAGTCTGAATCCGTATCTGTTTTTGTTGAGATACGGTCTCTCAATATCAGTGCTCAAATTCTGGCGTATATACAGCAGTCTCTCTTCTGCCGGCCCATCTTGGCTTTGAGACGCTTTCCGGCTGTAACGCCAGAGCCCGTCTTGGTGGATATTAATTCTTGTATACTGATCTTCTTGGGAAAGGCGCCTGATAAAGATACCCATAGCAGCTGGCTCTTGGTCCATAATTCGATCTGTACAGTCAATGTATGCTAGATACGTATCAGCTGCCCATGGAGTGATTTTCAAACTGATTGAGAGGCCACGATTCGTCATCGCAAAAGGCCGACGCCCGTCTAAAGACTCTCCTGATGTTACACAATGACATCTGGAGAAGTAGACCGGACTAGGAGCAAGTAGACCGGAAAACTTGATTTCCTTCATGGACCAAGCAAAGATGGAATGGTCATCGTTATACTTGACGATCTCTTCCTGAAGTCTAAAGAATGCTCGCTGTCCCTCACCATAAAGAAGTGGCATATTCACACCAAATAAGCCCAGCAAGCAGTATGCGCCGTCTTCAGCACGGGTTGTGACTCTTCTAGCAGACCAAGACATTTTCTGAGCAACGGAGTACTCTGTCAGATTCCTTGATGTGAGAGCCGTCGCAGGTATACGGGTGATTGAAGCAATTCGTCCAGCTAGAGCAGATTTGCTGCCTAAACGTCGCCAGAGTCGATCGTAGAAAATAACCCTCCGTGGAGCAAGGAGCTCTTGCAGAGTCCATCCACGCTTGAACCATCTGCTTTTCGAAATGGATTTCTTCCACGTTGTTCCCACCACGTCGTTAAGGTAAACGTAGCAACGCTTCGCACCATGGTACCAGTTGTACATCGAATTTATAGCCTCACTGAGCTCGGCACTGCTCTGCTTGTTTATACAGCAGGTGTCGACCCAAAAGTATTCCAGCCTGTCTTTCCTGGCTTGATTGGCACAGAACCACAGTTTGACATATCCGGTCTTGCCCGCGCCCGTCTTGTTTTCCATGTCATCGAAAGTGACCTCCTCCTCGTCGGCACCCCAAGTATGGGAGAGGATAGCATAGGGACCGGGTGGCGTGGTCACATCCTTGGTCAACACCAGCTCATTGTAGCGGCCAACTTGTAGGAGGCGCATGACGGGCACTCCACCGGCGAAGAGAAGCTGCGATCAAGAGGCTTAGCGCTGGACGAGTATGGGGATCATGAGTATCGGCGTGCTGGTGACGGCGGGTGTGGACAGCAAGTGGACTGAGAAACTTCTGCACAGCTCATTAGCCACCCACCATTAGACACTTGATGCACAGTGAACGGCAATATGGTGACCAGTATGTGATGAGGCTCAAACGGCTGTAAGGTAGGTCACAGCGCAATCTGCAGCCAAGGAGGCTCCTAATTACCAGCGAGTTTGGCAAAGTTGTCAGCCTTGGACCGAAGCTTGGCGCCAAAATTATGGCAGTTCTCAAATCCGACCCCTTCCTCCCTATCCTCTTCTTCATTCCTCTATTTCTCTACCAATACTTACTCAAATTGAGGGAACAATGGATTTTAAACAGGGAAATAGACATCGCGTCTGCCGAATAAGACTACGAACAGCGTCTCGGTTTCAATAAACCAAAAGAGACTACCAAATCGTTAACCCAGAACGCAGTAGACAGAATTGAGCTTCAACATAAGCCTGTCTTCGTAACAGGATTGAGACAGTAGATGGCCTCCTCTTTGCCTTGTCATGGATTCATGAATCGCCTTGCAAGGCCTAGATAGCACGAAAATTGCAGGAATGCTCGGCAAAATAACCAAATGGATCTAGGGTGCTAGAACCTAGCCGACACTATCAACCAAAGCATTCTGTCACTTTTTTGACTAAATTGGTTCCTCAGTCAATTATTTCCTCCTGGTACTTCCGCATCAAAAAGCCTGTGGGATCGTTTATGTCCAGGTGTGCCTAGGCGCTAGTAAAATAGATAACAAAATCTCCACTTGTCTAGGCCCAGCCCTCCTTATTATAGTATTTTATCTCCTTAGGAAATGTATTAATCTTGTATTATAATATATATGTGAACCTTTTCGCCCACTTTTCTAATACTATTAGATGTGTTGAGAATGCACGCCGATCAGAAATACCACGTGATCCATGCGCTAGCAGGATCTGCACTTGATGTACAGATGCACTGTGATCACACTCCGCATGCAAGTTGTTACCGTTGATAGTGTCGATAGCTGTTCCAATCTGTATACCTGTTCAACAGGTTATAAGCCCGGTGCAGAACAGCTATAGACATCAACGGTGAGTGAAGGCCCAATTGAGATTACTGAACGAGCTGCTACTCGCGTTACGAGGTACAGTCGTGTCATACTTAATTGTGGAACGTGAGTGAGTTGAATACTCTAGGGCTATAGAATCACAAGTCTGTGGATTCAAGAGCAGAGATATCAATCGTGTTACAGTTTATTCTGAGACTCAGAAATCAGCTTATTATAGCTTATAAATTAATTAACCCTATCAGGATTAACTAAATATAATAATAATTAATTAATACATTCCTTTTTTGCTTAAAAGTCTATAATAATTAGAATATATATTTCTTTTACTTTAGTTAATTTAATTTTATATTAATTATTCTTTTATTTTACTATTAAAATAAATAATATTATAGCAAAGAGACGACTAATATTAATCTTTATATATATTAATTATAAATAATAGTTTAAACTCCTTATTTTTTACTTTTAAGTAAAAGAAATCTAGCTAATATTAATATATGCTAAAGTGCTTATTAAGAAGGCAAAGAAGCTAAATACAAAGGCATAATATATTATTTATATCTATAGCGGGAGTC